CCTGAGTGAGAAGATCCCTGCATCCCAAAGTGTAGTTAGTTTTTGCTGTCTACTGCTTTTCCTCTGGATCCAGATCTGTGTTTCTCAGCTTGAAATTCTGAGTGGTAAAACTGAATCTGATTTTGAAAGCAGAAAAAATACTGTATGCAATACTAACCTTAATAAGGAAATGTGAGATATACGTGATTCTTGACCACAAATGCCTCGGCATCTGTGATAGTGTCAGTTCTCTGCCATGTGGTCTTGGAAGAAAAATGGGCTCAGTTTCAATATTTAAAATTAATTTCAAAGGAAATGTAGTAAAGGCAGAAAAATGAACCAGTAGTTCAGGAAAGCAGAAATAACAGTGGGTCAACAGTACATGGACAGGAGGCAAAATGCCTGCTCCTACAGCATCTCTAGTAGTGGTCTTCCTCAGATATCCCACCTCCAGTGCAAGCATCCAAAGAGTAACTTCCTCTTTAACATCCCAGATTTTTCCTTCCCTCTCTTGTTTATAGTTTGTTGTCCAAGATTAGATTAGTATTCTGGGGATACGATCAGGCATAGTCAGCTTCTGTGTGTGAAGAAGAAAAGATACCTTGCTGTCATTTCAGCATTTGCTGTCTTTGCCATGACCTGCTGCCGCCCATTGATCTTTTCTTCTTTCACTGCTGCTGTTACTTCACCCATCCAGCTGTAGAGTGCTGCTGGTATCATGTTGCCTTGTATTTAGTATAGCAGCTTTAGTATTGCTGAGGGGGAAGTGCCTTTCTTCTGCTGCTCTGACTATGTTACCTCCCAAGATGATGGATTTTTAGTTTTGATGCTCTGCCTGGTTTTTTATTTTTGACATCTTAGTCTCCATATTAATGATTTCACCTATTAGGGATTTTGTTGCATATGGAGAAGGTCTTTGTGGATGACTCGTATGTGTCATTTGTCCTCCCCACTACTGAAAAACGCAGGTTAAGTCACCTAAGTGTTTGTTTATTGTGGCTCTGTGTAGTTAGAGACTCTGAGTGGAGTCTGTTTAGCTCTGTTACTTTCTGGGGAGACACATCAGCTCACGCATATGATCTAAGCAAGGAATCACTAGCAGACGGAAACTTCTAAATCATCTTCCCCTGTCCTTCATCATGTAAACTTTATCATTTCAGCATGCTTCCTAAAGAGCGTAACACAAGTATCATCGAGGTTGAACCCACATGCAGACTATGCGCGTAAAGATCTGCTACGTTATAGTCACCATCGGGGTGATTATTCAGTATTGTACATACAGGAGATTGGGTGGTCAAAGGTGGTGCGTAAAGCCTCCTGCAAATGAAGCTTCTGGATTCTCTGTATTCCTCTGACTCATCAGTAGGTGGCAGAGGGCGTTCTCCTGGAGATGTTGCCACAAACGTGTTCACAGCAACATTTATAAGGGATATGTCAAAGTCTGAAAAAAGCAGGGTTACAAATGGCTAGAACAGGCATTTCCCAGTTCTCCTTCGCTATTTCACCTTTGCTAGAAAAATGGTGTTCCAACAGGGGAGTAACGAATGGGCAACATTGGACAAATTCTGCAGTTATTACCAGCACAATTCAGTGAGAGTCCAGGAATGAAACTGAGGGCAGAATTTGATCCTTTGTATTATTAGAAATGATTGAAGAATTGCTGTATTCCCATGGAGAATTAATATTTCAGTTTCTTAGAAGTGTATTTTGCTTAGTATAAAGCAGTTTCATTTTAAAAACCAAGTTCATGTCAGCAGAAACTAAAGTATTGATTGAATCCTGTTTACAAATGTTTTGGCATTGGCTTAATCTTACCAAAGGTCAGCTTTTGATATTACGAGTGCAGCACTTGCAATGGTATTGATTTTAAGAGTCTCTTAGATCTTCTTTAAACTCCTGAATCTGTACATCTTCTCAACACATAAAAATGTTTCCACAGAAAGCTCATAAGCAACATTTTTTTCTACTGTACTATGTCTTACATGTAAAATTTCTTCTCATATCTGTATGCAGTTGATCTTGGTGTTGAGAAAATTTCAACACAAATAACTGAGACAAGAGTTTGAGTCTTTCAACCTGATAGCCATTGACTGTGATGTTTTAATCTCTTGTTATTGGGGCAATAAAACAAGATTAGTTGCCTGCACTTGAAATAACAGCTTTTGTGTCTTCAGAGAACCAATAAATGGACTTACATAAAAAATTGATTTCTGGTTTTATTTCTAATGCTGAGTGATGATTGAAAGTAACAAGAACTTAGCAGAAAACCTTGCTACTCTTTTCTTTGATACTGTCATGGTTTAACCCCAGCCAGCAACTAAGCACCACACAGCCGCTTGCTTACTTCCCCCTGGTGGGATGGGGGAGAGAATCGGAAGGGTAAAAGTGAGAAAACTCGTGGGTTGAGATAAAAACAGTTTAATAGGTAAAGCAAAAGCCACACACACAAGCAAAGCAAAACAAGGAATTCCTTCACTACTTCCCATGGGCAGGCAGGTGTTCAGCCATCTCCAGGAAAGCAGGGCTCCATCACGCGTAACGGTTACTTGGGAAGACAAATGCCATCACTCTGAATGTTCCCCGCTTCCTCCTTCTTCCCCCAGCTTTATATGCTGAGCATGACATCACATGGTATGGAATACCCCTTTGGCCAGTTGGGGTCAGCTGTCCCGGCTGTGTCCCCTCCCAGCTTCTTGTGCACCCCCAGCCTACTCGCTGGTGGGGGGGGGTGAGAAGCAGAAAAGGCCAAGGGTGGACAGACACTCTAGTAATCGCCTTTTTAGCTGTTGGAGTTTAGTCTAATACCTCATCCTGGTTTTGTGTATCCAACCAAACAGATCCTCAAAAATATGAGATATCAGAACAGTGTCACTTGTTCTCTGTTTTCAGGTACAAAAAAAGTGTTTATTTCTTGCCTGGACACAAACATTCTCATACGTCTTCCCAAAATTCATACATTCACGTCTGATCTTGAATATCACTAACTTGGATATGAATTTTGGTTTCTTGCAAGAAGCACATGGATCAGTTAGCTCAAGTGTTACATCATTCTGAAATTTCCTGATTAATTTACACTTTTTAAGCACACAAACTTGTTAAAGTAAAATAATATCTTAATTGCCCACAAAATCAGATACTGAGTGCACTTTGCTTTATTTGCATGTTTCCTCTTCTGCTTTTGAAAGGCAGAATGGGCAGAAGTTGTATCAACTACTGACAAAGTAGTTTTGGTTCCAACAGCAAACACATGCTTTTTATGTTGGCACAAAGGAAAATACAGTCCGAAATGTATATTATTCCCTCATGCATTTGCTCTGATTCCATCCTGTCTTCAAACTATTACTACACAAAAGCATCAACCTGATTGATTGCAAATATGCTTTACACTTGTTTTTCTCTTGAATAAAGCGTACGTAGTTTTGTTCCATTGCCTTTGTCTCTTTGACAAATAGTGTAGCTTAGTATTGATTACCTTGGTAACAAACTAAGAATATGTTATGTTGCACCTAATCCTGCCGCTTCATCTACCTTAAATAGAGAAAAAAGCCTCTGGGCACTGATGAATTAAAAAAACAGTAAAAATTACCCTGATCAGTGTGGTGCACTAAATCCTTGACTACTTTAATGCATATAAAGTATACATTAATTTCAGCAGGGCAGGCAAATGATTGAAACGAATTACCACCTATTAGGTTTTGACAGACACTGAAACCCTCCCAGCTTCCCACACCCCACAAGAGCAATTACTAGAAAATTAAAAGCTTATTCCTACAGTTTCAAAGCTTTTTTATTAGCTGAAACAAGTTTCCCACCAGCTGTGGCCATCTTTCAGTCAGGTGTAAATTCATAACTGAACTGTGAATTCCTGGTATGACCCTCGGTATACAACCAGCTATGGTTATGCATTTCTACTACAAAATGAAAAGAATATATATTATTTTTATTATATCTCAAAGAAAGACTCTCCTGGATCTGCTTGCTGGTGTTTATCTGCTGAGTAATCGAGTTAAAGAATGTTCATCTTGTCAGCGAGTTTAGCAAAATAAAACAATATCTATTTCTTCCTGAGGCATTTTGTCCCGTGCCTCAGCAAAGGAAGCAGCTATACAGTGTGTGTTCCACCTCATCTATCATCTGCCTTCCCTCTCAATGAATTCTGGTATTTAGCTTTGTCAATATTGCAATATTGTATTCAGGAATTATTTTATTTCCAAACCCAAGAATTTAATAGAACATATTATAACATTTTCCCCCCAAAAAAGGGTACAGCTAATGTACAGCTAATGATGAATTACAGATCAAATCAGACTCACCTTTTCTTTAAGAACATATTTTTTAAAGTATCTTCTTTTCAGTTTACAGCTGCTGTACATGTTGATTTGCAAAAATGTGCGATAAAATGAAATGGACCGGTTCAGGGTTATTTGTGAGGAAGAGACAGAAAGGCTGTAAAGTTTTATGTTCATTACAACACAGAAACAGATTTGAATCCAGATGGAGACCTTGTAGCATTACTAGGAAAATAAACACCAACCGACTATTGTTATTATAGAAAATTTCAACTTTCTATATTTGCACTAGACAGCAAAATACTTGCAAGAATGTGTAGAATCCACCTAATCCTGTATGTAACAAATGCCAGATTTCTTTATTAGTTAATCATGAATCCAACAGGAGATTATGTGCTATGCAATTATAGTTTGGATTTCAGTGAACAAGTGTGCTTGTCCTTGAAATGAATCTTGCATTAATTATTGCAAGTTGCTTCCTTCAAATTAGAAGAACAGATAAAATTGCATCTTAAAGCTTTCCATTTCAAAAAGGCAAGTATTCAGTATTTATGTAAGTACAAGTTAACTGAACTGAAAAAGTCCATGCACTTAAATGAGGAAAACACTTGCTGTTCTTTAAAGCAAACACTTCTAAAATCTCTGGAACTTACATTGCAAACCACAGAAAAGGAACGCTGCACTTACTGAT